TTCGGTTTAAGTAGCCCCCCTAGCTCCTGCCAATCCCATGTAGAAATCTATCCTTGTTAATGGCTGGCTTCTTGGCTTACGCTTTTTGTTTCTGCTTCTGTTTCTTTGGCATCTCTGTCTGTCTACGCTCGTAGATCTTGAGGCCGATGTGGGAGAGCAGCTATTGAACGATATGAATCTCATGACCGAAGGTGCTTTTCAACAGATTTAAAATGCTTTCGCCTAGAACACTACATAGAAACCACTCCTCAACCCTTAAGGCAGTATTGCAGACAATGAATAATCACAGATAATGTTTAATGGACGTATATAAATCCTTTCGATTTGTTATGCTTGTTAGTTCTTAGTAATTAAATTAAATAGCTAAAGAGCTTATACCTATAACCAACCTTAAATAAGTTAAATTACAAATGTAACTACTAAAACATTTTCTGTGACTCTGAAGTCTGATTCTCCTTGAGGCGTTGAATACAACAATGCAATTCGATTAGTACTAACAATATTTGTTAATCTTCCCACAGAAGTGGACGGCTCATTGGGACTGGGCGAGCTGGCCCAGCTGACGGTCAATAACGAATCCGATGGAGCGTACGATGCGAACTCCAAGGACGGAACTGGCGGCAGTGCCGGCGGTGCTGGTTACCGCAAGACCTGGAACGCCAAGTATACGCTTCGCTCGCACTTTGACGGAGTGCGCTCACTGATTTTCCACCCCGAGGAGCCGGTGCTGATTACCGCCTCCGAGGATCACACGCTGAAGCTGTGGAATCTGCAGAAGACGGTGCAGGCCAAGAAGTCGGCCAGCCTGGATGTGGAGCCGCTGTATACGTTCCGGGCCCATACGGGCCCAGTTCTGTGCCTGGGCATGTCGTCCAGCGGAGAGACATGCTACTCGGGCGGCCTGGACGGCAACATCGAGTGCTGGCAGTTGCCGTCGCCGAACATCGATCCGTACGATTGCTATGACCCGAATGTGCATTCCGGCACGCTCGAAGGGCATACGGACGCCGTGTGGGGCCTTACCACGATGCAGAGCAACATTGTTTCATGCTCGGCGGACGGAACGGTGAAGCTATGGTCGCCCTACAACAAGGAGCCGCTGCTGCGCACCTACACCGCCTCCGAGGCGGAGGGTGCGCCCTCCTCGGTGGACTTTGTGCGCAACGAGGTGGACCACATTGTGGTTGCCTACAACAGTGCCCACTGCATCGTGTACGACACGGAGACGGGCAAGCAGGTGGTGCGGCTGGAGGCGGCCCAAGAGATGTCCGGCAATACGGGGAAGTTCATCAACAAGGTGGTGTCGCATCCCACGCTCCCCATCACGATCACCGCGCACGAGGACCGCCACATCCGGTTCTGGGACAACACATCCGGCACTCTGGTACATTCGATGGTGGCGCATTTGGAGCCGGTCACCTCGCTTGCGGTCGATGCACACGGGCTGTATTTGCTGTCCGGCTCGCACGACTGCTCGATACGGCTGTGGAATCTGGACAATAAGACGTGCGTGCAGGAGATCACGGCGCACCGCAAGAAGTTCGACGAGAGTATATTCGATGTGGCCTTCCATGCCACAAAACCGTACATAGCCAGTGCCGGGGCCGATGGTCTCGCCAAGGTGTTTGTCTAAGTGGGACCACCACCACCACCATCCCCACCAACACCACCTCCCTGGCCACGTCGGATCGAACGAATTCAGAATTCGGAATCCAGAGTGCAGATTGCAGATTGCAGATTGCAAATTGCAGATTACAGATTGCAGAAGCCGAATCCACAGCCAGCAGCAGCTCACAGCTAAGCGATTACGAGTTCGAGTTAAATAATTATACATACATTATAAATATACTATACATTTAAATCTAATTATACTTCAACCGAGAACAACAACCAATTATGCATACGATAATAAGAGAGGGAAGAAGAAGCCACAAACATAAAAACCAATTGCTATAAAGTAAAACAAATGAAAAAAAGAAAAAGAAAAAGAAAAAAAAAAAACCAAACAATAAATTCAAAACGAGAAACGGCATTTCGAGAAGAGCAACAGAGTCAAGTAACAGACGAGAGTCGCTTAATCTAGGAACGTAATTCTAAAGCAATGCATAATACGGCATATAACCACAAATAAGTGCAACATGCAACACATAAACATTATGTATTTGTTTAAAATAACACCGTAGCAATGAAAGAGTTTGATCTTGCTGTCGATTCCCCGAACAATGGGCGGGATCAACTCAAGATCGACCCTCTTTTCGGTTCTAATTTTAATAGCATCACTTGCACAGCGATTGATTGTTCGAAAACGAGTTGCCTATGACAAAACAGTCAGACTCCTGTACATTTTATATACATACACAACTACACAAACACATATATATATAAATATATATACTTATTATATGCCCATGGCACAACATGAAAATGGATCGTCTGGCTGAAACAGATTCATAGGCACTCTCGCTGGGCAAGTGGAACAGGACATATTTCCTTGCCTGCAGGGCGATCAAGTGCGTCCTGCAGCTGGAGGAATGTGGAGCAAAACATTTACGTGACGAAGTAGACGATCAAATTGAGTAGACTAAGCAAGGCATATACATATAACCAACCAACCATATAAACTGACCCCATATTAGCGAAAAAGCGAGAAAAATTGTATATTAACATTAATTAGAGGACAGTCGAGGTGAGACTAGGATGAAGGCGGGTTTATTAATGTCAAGTAGCGAGTCGAAAACGCAACCATACAAAAATAAAAACAAGAGAACAAAAATCACAAAAAAATGCGAGATGTGAAACGAAAAGAAACCTTAAGAATTAGTAAGTGCAGAATGCTTCTATAATTTCTTTTGTCATTACAAAGGGAGTACGCAATGCTTGATGGACCACGACCATGTGCAGATGAGATATAAATAATAATTGCAGGCAAGCTATAAACCGTATGCTAAGCTATTTATTTAATTTATGCATAGTATTAAACGAATGAAACAAGCAAAACAAAATGTTGGCGCCAATCACTGATCCAATGGATTTCGTAGTTGAATATAAATTAGATTCGCTTACCATGGATGCGTACTCGTAATTTTAATCATGAAAAAATTTACGTTAAATGAAAATTTAGAAATGTGACTTGAACGTGAACGCCGAGCAACTCAATATTAGTTTTAGTATTACCAATTATTATTACTATTACGTGAAACCTTTCACTGACACTCTCTCCACAAACACTTTACACCCAAAACTTGATATTCGAAACCGATGAATCAGAATCAAAAACGAAAACGATTGCGATCTGTGTACACCAAGCAAATCCTCTATTATTTTAATTATTATTTTAATTTACGCCTTAGTTGTTACAATCGAGAACACGAGTCACGTTATTATTCAAAACGCTGATGAACAGTTGACGATGATCACGATGGTAATAATTAAAGAAGTGGTTGACCAGCAATCAGCCACTTACAGTTATATAGCAGATTTATACATTTACATATACATAAATCTATTGATTTCTAATTTTAACTGTAAATTTTTGATTTTTTATTACCATGTATTTTTATTTTAAATAAAGTTTTACAAAATGAAGCCGTGTGACTTGCGACTGCCTTTTAATTTACAAAATCCCCCTTCAACAGAACCATTTAATTGATGATTAATTGATGAGAACGTTGTAGACCAGCTGGCTCTCGTTTGCAACGGTGGCAAAAATCAATAACTTTTTACCAAAAATACGTACAGAACCGAAACACCAAACACACCATTTAACGCCAAGAAGCTGTTGCCTTTTCATTTTGGAAAAGTTTTTCGCTGCTGGCAGCACTTTGATTTCTTGAATTTGCGATATTACACTGCACAACATGAAAACAATTTTGTTTCCAACCGTTACAAATCCACTGCCGTAAAATGCCGTTAAACACAAGATGCACGCATGCGTTTCGTACCACAGAGATCGAGAATCCGAAATGTAATTCTCCTATATTATGCAAACAAAATGATTGTAATTTTCCTGCATGCAAGACGCGAACTAGAATGCTGTAACAAATATATAACAAAATTGAGAATCCAATCTGGCATTCCACTATTACTTAAGCTGCAAAAGTGTAGACGAGGGAGAGCACGATAAGCATTACTTAACTAAGTCAAACAAAACGTTCATTGTAGATTTGAGCATATAGGAATGGTCCCAGGTCCTAAAGGAACACCCAGCACATAAGTTTATACATACATTATATAAAGTGAAAAACCCAAATGCATATTAACTGAACGATACTTTTATAATAAATTGAAGAAGAAGTACATAATACTCAATGAAATACCATTCACACATTTCATGTTAAGATATAATAAAGTGAATAAATAAAATATTTAAAACAAAATCAGCGTTATGTTGTATTTCTTACTGGTTTAGACTACATGGCATGTATGATTAGAATGTATTTCGTAATTAAAGATATTCTGGTAAATATTTATGACTTCAAGACTTTTTTAAAAATATTTTCATAAAAATTTTTAAAAAAAAATTTTTATTATAAATTGTATTTAATGGATAGCTAACCGAAATGATTTTTAAAAAATATAATTTTAAAATTTTTTTCTTGGTAAATAATAATTTTTTTAAATTTAAATTTTTTAGGTTAGCTATCCATTAAATCGTTTATTAAGCTTATCAGTTAGCGTTGTTTTCGGCATAGTGAGCAGTGTTATTAATACGTTTGGAATATCAAAACAATAAATCAAAAGTTTTTTTATTTAAACAAATATCAAAAAATTTGGATTTAAAAGTTCAGAAGTATCTCTAGTTTACACATTTCGACATTCGTGCTTAAAAATCATCCCCTTGACTACGTTTGAATTTAAAAAAACAATACACTACACTACTTTAAACATTTCGACTTAAACATTTCTTTTTGAGAAAGCCTATTACATTTTATTACCGCTATTAACCCCCATTTTACTACGCCTTTGCCCCCATCAGCTGTTTGATAAGCCACCGCCGCGTTGCCAACCATCGCGCAGATGAATCAGCTGCCGTTGATTCGCTTCTGTTTGGTATTTGTTTGTTCGCAGAACTATTCCTGCCTAATTAATTCAGTTAATCAAGCGAAACATTGAGTAGAGGAGGATCCCAACCATCCGATTCAATTGAGACCAATCAGCGATGGACTTCACGACCTTCGTAAAGCCCTCGAGTGGCGAAGGCGTCGGCGGTGGCGGTGATGCGGATGGTGTCCAGAAACTGGAGTTCTGGAAGCATGTGGAGTACATCGAGAATCATGGAAAGCAGGAGGATGACTACGAGTACTGCATGACCGAGTTCCTGCGCATGTCGGGCATCTATTGGGGCACCACGGCCCTGGACATAATGGGCCAGCTGGACCGGCTGGAACGGAAGTCCATCATTGAGTTTGTGAAGCGATGTCAGTGCCCGACAACTGGAGGATTCGCCCCATGCGAGGGACACGATCCCCACTTGCTGTACACCCTGTCGGCGGTCCAAATCCTGTGCACCTACGACGCCCTCGACGAGATCGACTGCGAGGCGGTGGTGCGTTTTGTGGTGGGACTGCAGCAGCCCGATGGCAGCTTCTTTGGCGACAAGTGGGGCGAGGTGGACACCAGGTTCAGCTTCTGTTCGGTGGCCACTCTGACGCTCCTCGGGCGAATGGATCAGACCATCGACGTGGACAAGGCGGTCAAGTTCGTGCTGTCCTGCTGCAACCAGACGGACGGAGGATTTGGATCCAAGCCGGGCGCTGAATCGCATGCGGGTGAGTCACGTCACCAAGGCCCAGCTCTTTTTCCTTGGCCCGTACTCAATATCATTTCAATTTAAACTTTTCAATTATTAATAATCTTTCCTTTTTCAAAGAGCACTGGCAGAAAAGTTTTTCATCTACATTTTGAGGGAGTTTTTTTTATAAATATAGATAGTTTCCTATAGAGTCATGACGAAACTCCAATTGTATTAAGATTCCAATTGTATTTACGATTCTCGTGAACCATTGACCCGTAGGTTTTAGAAAGGACGATCTTCATCTTCCTTAAATTTATGTATCAGATCACATTTAAGGTTCATTACGCCTATCAGCTTAGAATTATCCATAAAATTTTAAGAATAAAATAGTTTTCGGTAGTATTATGGCAAAACTCTAGTTTCTATATATATTACAATACCCGCGAATTCTTTAGACCCGTATGTTTTAATAAGACGAAGGTAAATGACCTTAAAATATTTGCAAGCCAATGATACCTCACATTTTTAGACAGCACATACAGTCAGGTTCATTTATCATTTTCATTAAATTTAGTTTTTGTCGACAAAGTGACTTAAAAAGTATCTTCAAAAATAAAGTTTTATAAGTGTACCAAAAGCGATTCTCAAAAGCGGTCCTATCAAAAAAAATACCAATTTAAACCTACTTATCTTTCCATAGGTCTTATTTACTGCTGTGTGGGCTTTTTCTCGCTGACCCATCGCCTGCACCTGCTCGACGTGGACAAGTTGGGCTGGTGGCTCTGCGAACGGCAGTTGCCCTCGGGCGGCTTAAATGGCCGACCCGAGAAGCTGCCCGACGTGTGCTACTCATGGTGGGTGCTCGCCTCGCTGACCATCATGGGTCGCCTGCACTGGATCAGCTCCGAGAAGCTGCAACAGTTCATCCTGTCTTGCCAGGACACGGAGACGGGCGGATTCTCCGATCGCACTGGCAACATGCCCGACATCTTCCACACGCTCTTTGGCATCGGTGGCCTCTCGCTGCTGGGACATTCCGGCCTGAAGGCCATTAATCCAACGCTTTGCATGCCGCAGTACATCATCGATCGGCTGGGCATAGAACCGCAGCGATTGGCAAGACCATAGGGTCACTTTGGGACAGCAGTCATAGCCAATATGTAGCGAATAATCAGAACAGACCTCTGCCGTATTTCCACACGAACCCCACTTAGTTTTATTTGTATAAAAAAAGACCAAAATTCCACCGCAGGAATATGTTAACCCTTGCACGTACTCAATGCTCTTTAACTTCGTTGTGCATTTACTCAGAATGTATCCCCTCGATAAGCTATGATTAATATATTTTGTATAACGAATTAAAATCATTAAATAAATATTTTATTTTATTACAGCAAGCCATATGAAACCCTTCTTTATTTGCATATGTGCTATGTAATAAAACCATAACGAGAACCCACCAAAATAATCACAAAAACCATATAAGATCAGTTAACATTTGATTTATTTGCAAAAATAATTAAACTAACATTTGCATATGTGAAAAACAAATTGAAATGTTCGCGCTAATTGTCTAGGACGTTATATATATATATATATATATATTAGGTAAATACATATCGAAGTGTAAATTTATGTACATGAGGATACCAGTATAAAGACTAAATAGTTAAGATCTTGGCAAAAAATTGCATTACGAAAATGGCGAATCACACAAAATTGGAATTAAAAACTAAACGCTAAGTGTAAGTGTTGACACCGTGTGTGGGTTAGCTTCAATTAGCGACAATTGAAATGAATTTTACAGAGCACAAACAAATATTAATCGACCCCACATACATGTATGTAGTTAGGCAATGTCCGAGTGTTTTTTGGGTCGGTATCGTGAAGTGTGTTGTGTTGTGTTGCATTGTGATTGTAGTATACTCGATGCACGTCTAAGGCACTCTATAAACAATTTCAGCTAACAATCTTTGTTAAAATGTATTTCATCAACTACGGACTAATGGAGGAGCATTAGGAATTGCTGAATTTTTCATCGCTAGTCAATACATTATATGCACAGCCCAAGGCCCATGAGATTTCGTGGCCATCTATTTTCTTGTAAAGCTGTAAAAAAAATTCCAGTTAGAGAGTAAAACAAACACTCTTTGGACAATGATAGACTCACCTTAATCTTCTTGCCATCGTTGAGGCCAAATCCTTCGCGCAGCAGTGTTGAGATAAAGGTGAGGTCAAAGCACATGAAGGGCTGCTCATCATTGGGGATGGCGCAGATCTCCTGGGCCTTCTTGCGGTAAGCCTCCACTGTGGTCTCTCCACCAGCCAGAGGATCCACCAGTCCCGACTCGATGGCACGCTCAAAGTAGTAACTAAAAGCCGCCACCGCATGCTGCTTCAAAGTGAACGGCTTGGGCTTGACCAGTGGCATCACCTTGCTCTTAACCAGCTCCAAGCACGCATCAAAGTCCACAATAGGCTGCTCGGCACTCGACTTGCCGTTCTCCTTGCCACTGACCTTGTACTGCACATTTCCGTACGTCCACGTACGATTGGCTATTATCGGATTCACACAGACACTCTCCAGCACCGAATCCTCCTTCTTGTAGCCATGCGTGAAGACGGCATGGCGGGCGGCCATCAATCCCAGTCCCAGATAGCTGTGCGTGAACACATTGATCTTCTTGCTGGAGGTCACCACCTCGTGCATGTACTTATCGTACACGGGCACCTGTTCCGGATCCGTTGGCGAGAAGGTAACCTGTGTGCTGCCGCCGCCCAAGTCCAGGGCAGCCGCCTGATTCGTCTTGGACAGGCGGCCCAACAGGAAGTTCACGGTAAACCAGCTGAAGATGCCCTCGTCCGTGCCATCCATAATCTCAACGGCATCCATATCCACACTGAACTCGGACTTGGCGAAGAGATCTCGGACGGCATTTAGGATATTTTCGGCCTTGCTGGCCGGCAAAAGTCTCAGGCCAGCTGTGGCCTTCAGGACCAGCGGCGTGGACGACCAGTGCTCCTTGGGTATGAAGGCTCGGGCTTCATCCAGCAGCAGTTTAATCGAGTGGGCACCCTCGGCGGGATTATCCGCAAAGGAGCTCAGGCCCGGCTTGCGCTCCTTGAACAGCTCCTCGTAGAGCACCAGTTTGTTGTCGATAAAGCTGCGATTGAACTTGTAGGCCAAGACACGGCTGCCCGTGGATCCGGCATCTATAATGGCCGCATACTGAACCTTGCTGTAGCCGAACTTGGAGGCCAAACGGGCCAGATACGGACTGGCATTCTCGGAGACGAAGCCTGCATCATTGTCCGTGGTTGATGGTTGTGTGGTTGATGGTTTTTTGATTACAACATGGCGAACAGGAGGCGAAAAATGAGGTTCCACATTGGCGTAGCGCACGGTAACAGTGGGAAATTCAGAGGGTTTAGTTAGTACAGGTTTCGAGACAACATTTTCTTTTACATAATACAAATGGTACACACCGAACACAAAGAGCAGCAGGATGACGGAGATGACCAGGCACAGGAAGGAGATCTTGAGGCCGCTGGGACCGCGGTTTCCACCATTGCCGACATTTGGGGATCCACTGCTTTTCCGCCGCGGCGGCTTCTCATCCGTGGCCAGCTGAAACATGTGACATTCAATTAGTCTCGGTTGGAGAATGAAGTATTTTTAGTGATATTGTTGGCTAAAATATTTGTGGTCTACCAGTTTATATTCGTATTTCATGGCTCGTTTCGTTGCCTGCTATGCCACAACATTTATGCATTGCCGGTGACTTGGTTGAAACACATTTCAGTTGTTTGCTCTTTAAATATTAACACGCAGGCTATTCTATTTGCTATCTCTTGAAATGTCAATGATTATGTTTCCATTTTTTTTTTCATATTCTACTGTGGGCTTTTATCGTTCACATGTGCCAGGGGTGCGGAGATAAGCTCATCGATAACGTTAACCAGGGCTACAGCACAGCTTAAACAACGGTAAAGGCCAAAAAACCGTTGCATGGAATGTAACGGTTTAATTCGACTTTTGACGTGTTTTTATTTCTTCATTTAAATTTATTTTATTAAACTTTTTAGCATATTAAATTTATCAGCAAAACTTAAAGCTTCGACTCTTTTTTGGATCAATCGTTGTTAACATGAGCTCTGTTAGTACTTATTAATATAAACCTGTTTTGGGCCAGAAAAAGAAAGCTAATAAAATCAGCAAAATAATTAAAAATCTCTGTATCTGCCTACATAAAATTTGCATTGGCTCTTTGAAATTAATAATCTCTAGCTAACGGTCAAAAACAGGGCCTTCTCAAAATTCAAAGTCATGCTAAATTACTCATTTTGCTAACCGCACAGCAGTGTCCATTTAAATAGAGTCTAGAGGGCAGTCTTATCAACTTACACTCTTGCGATATGACAAACGATAAGACGCAATCAGTTTTCAGTTTGGCTACGACAACCATGCCTGAATACCATTAGCAACAATCATAAGTGGAGCACAAAAAGCCATCTTTTAGGTTTCCTAAGTAGTAATGTAGGGGCCGCAAACAAACCTGATGAAATTCGTATTGTTTAAACAAATGTTTCGTTATTGGTAAGTGGCTGACGCAAAAATAGCTATAGCTATAGGCAATAAAAAAAAAACAAAACAAACTAGGGACTAAAAGTATATTTGGTTAAGCAGTTAATGGAGTTGACAGGGGCGACTATATACATAGGTACAGCCATTAGCATATAATATATTTAGCTTCCAAGCAATTACATTGATGGAATAATAACGCAGTGTTCATCAAACATTCAGGCTGTGAACTTATCGCATATGTTTCAAATGGCACGCTACTGTAATCAATAAATTATCTGATAACTGAGGACGTGGGCGACTTTTGTGCCGATCCACAATGAGTAAGAACCCAACTATGAAATGCTTTTTAATTCTTATCAAGAAATGCATATTCATTGGGGAATGCTTTAATCGGGTCTGTGAGATAATCGCAAAACGATTACTTTATTTCACCGCCCAGGAATATTTACCGTCAGATATTTACTTTTGTTGCTTTTAATTTTTAAGATAGTTAAAGTAAATATTTTAGTTCCCATTAAGTATAGTTTTTGCCATTTTGCAAATGATAATAGCTAAATAAAATATATGCCTCAAATTAAGACAGCAAAATTTAAGTAATGTTGATTCTAAGTCAACCTTTATCACATACAAATCTTTGAGATATATGGAAGTGTAATGATTTTTTTTTAAATATACTTGTATCCACTCTAAAAAGTATAATAGATTACAATTTTTTCCAATTTGTTTTCTTTTTAAATCGGGTTAGAGTGCTTACTTAACCGACCCTTATGACTTATAGTACATGAACTAACTGAACTTTATTTATGCGGGTAGCTATTAGGGGTTGTAGCATACAGATTTTGGAAACACAGCAATAGCAATACTTATGATTGCCTTGACGCTAACTAGCCATTATCTGTAATATTGCCAACCGAGTACCGTATAGAGCCACGCATGAGAGTTAAGGCCACGTTCACACTCTTGCACTCACTTGCAACCTGTTCCGGTTTGGCCCCATCCTGTTTTCCACCCACATGCGATGCAACCAAATGATCCAAACGATCCGATCGCCCCAAAACAAAATCGTCGTGTGTATCTATGCTCTTTAAGGTTTCGAGAAAGTCTAAGATATTTGAGGTTCCGAGAAAGCAATTGAAAAGTTGTCTAGCGAGATTCAGGAACGGTTGCCAACTCAATTGTTGTTTGTCTTTTTTTTGTTTTTTTTTTTTTTGTTTTTTGCAGCCCCTTAATGACCTTGCAAGCGAGAACATCGCACAGCCTGGCCACCCTACAAATATTCAAAGATAAACCGGCCGGCTCGAAAACAAATCCAAAACATGTACATATACATACATACATATATGTAGATTAAAAAATCATTTTGTACCAGGCGGCATGTTCCTGATATGTATAAACGTTATTTTCTAATCAAATTAAATTTGCATAATGTTGAGAAAACCTGTTTGGCAGACCCGTGTGTATATTTAAATACTTTGTATATGTAAGTTGGTTGTAAAACACAATTTGAAATAAAAATTGGCACAATCGAACAGAACTTGAAACCATTATTTAGCTAGTCATTTGATTTTTTGCTTCCGCGTCAAAAGATCAACAAATTGCAGTGTTAATGTGTGTGTGCGCTGGCACGTTTGTATGTGTGAGCGCCATGAAATTGGCATAAAATGTGCGCTTTTATTACCCTTTTAACCTTTGGCTTACTTTTCTCTTTCGCACATCGGGGTTCGTCATGTTGTTGTCTTTACTTAATTATGTAAATACACGAGAGTTTAGATTAGTTGCAAGCAGTGTTGTTTTATTTTCGACTATTTCAGCGATCACCGAGCGGAACGCACTAATGTCGATCTAATAACTAATCTAATGGGCGCGCCTGCTGAAATAACTATGAACGCAAGCGAACGCGCTGAATGGCGTCTTAAAAAAAACTAAAAACATTTATTTACCACCCGCTCACTTATATGCGGCAGCCCTGTCAGCTGTTCGTTATCAACGGAGTACGGTCACACAGGGAAGGTTTTCAGGGCTGCAAGATATGTTCAAATAATATAAGGTTAGTTATTTAAATATTAGAGAAATCGTACAATATGGAAGATAACTCGGATAAAAATCGTGAATTGCTTTATTTAATTTGAATGTTGCATTATTAAAATAAATAGTAGATACAAAAAACTGAACTTTTAATTAGCTGTTCCTTCAAAATAAAAAAAGTTATATATAATGAACTTCTAAAGGTGTTATTGTTACTTTTTCTATGACCCAAATATATCGGATCCAGGTTTTTAAAGATAACCAAAATCCATTTCAATATTTACCTAACTTTTTTTAATTGCATCATTACACTTACAATTACCACAGAATGCATTAGCAAAATCAAAATTATGAATAGATCTGAAAGTGCCTCAAAAAAATTCAAATAAACCAGTAAAGTCGTAAATGGCATATTATTGTTTAAATAATAGTTTCAAATCATGCGCTAAAATCCAGATACGTATGTAATTTCAAGTGAATGTTTTTTAACAATGCCAAACGGAGCCCCAATGCCGTTATTGCAGAAAAAATCATTACTTCTTATGAAAAAAAAATAAAACACAAATCATGCAAAAAAATATATCACAACAAGACCATTCAAACAAATGATTTTATTCAATAGTAATTAAGAAGTTAATACCACGAAAAATCCCAAAGTTTTCCAGCAACAGAGAAGCCCGATAGTATCCAACACTAGACGTATCGCCGCACAGCTGATCGCCAATCAGCTGGGCGATAGCTCCGTATCGATAGCTCTGCAATCGATAACGATATGTGTATTTTCTCTCTTCTCTGCACCAACACAAAACTCGCAACTAATTTTCGTTTAGAAACCACAGCTAAAAACAATGAAATTAATTAACAATTAAGTGGCTACCGCGGCGCCCAAAGCGAGCAGTGCATTTTCCGGATAAAAATCGGGAAATTTCCGGGAAACTTACACAAACAAATATTTTTTCGTAAGCGCTCTCATGTTGTCTCTTTCGCACAGCAGAATTACTAGTTGCTGTGTGTGTGCGTGCGTGCGTTTGTGTGTGCCGTGTGCCGTATGTGCGTGTGTGTGTGTGAGTGACTTTGACTGCAGTTGGCGTACGTTTTTTATTAATACCACACAAAAACAACAACATCAAAAGTAATGGAAACTAAACATATTTAAAGCGGGGAGCTGAAATCGGCAAAAAACAACAAGGCTTTGCCACCACCACCACAACAACAACAGCAAGTTACTACGTGTGTGTAGCGCGAGCGTATTTGTGTTAAATAATGTTTAAACATTTCTGATTTCGCACACAAATCAATTTTAAGTTGTAGTCACCAGGGAGAAACAATTGAAGCAAACGAGAAAGAGGTAAGTGCAAAAAGAGCCAATTGTTATAAACAAAATGTGTCAAAAGTTCGTCATGTAGTGCTCTCTTTTTCTGGGGCTCTCTCTCTCTCTCTCCCGCCACGCCGAAAAGAAATTAATTTTGATATTTATTTTTCCCTGCTTTTGTTGCTCTCTCTCGCTCTCGCAAACTTTTAATTTTAATTTGCTATGCGCAGCGAATTCGCGCGCAAAGGCAGCAAAAAAAGAGGCAAAAGCAAAGGCAGCAGCAACAACAATAAAGGCAAAGTAATAAACGTCAAAATGCCAGACGGACAATGCCGCCACTCTCTCTCTCTCGCGCGCTCTTTCCACAATTGTGTGCGTGCGTGTGTTTGGGTTTGCTCGCTTTTTGTTTTTATCAATTATTTAGGCGTTTGCCTTAAAAGTCTTACAAACAGTCAGAAATTAACAAATTTATATATATAGATAGATTTATAGATATATTTATCAATCAGGCTTCTTGAAATATAGGGTTAAAGGCAAGTGAAAAACCAAAAAAAGAGAATGCGAATGCTATAGGAAGGGGAGAGAGCAAAGAGGAGAGCCCGAGAGTTCCACACACACACACCTCAAGCAAATTCTGATAAGAACAATTGTTAATTGTTTGAAAGCCGACATTCCAATAGTCCAATCGCGCAGCCATTAGAAATAATCGAAAATGGTAAATGTAATTGTGTTTGTCACAAAATCTGCACTTCCTTCACAACTGATGAAATAAACCTGTCCCGTGGCGTCAGAAAAATCTGGTAAATTTATGTTTGCGCTTTTTTTTGACCAAAAAATTATAATCTTCGAATAATTCAGTGATAAGACAAGCAATCTCTCTTAAACTTGAAAATAAATACGAAACGAACTTGGTTATCTTTGGCATAAATAGAAAATATTCCAATGCAGTTTTACCAACAGTTTAAACTATCTTTGAACCATATATTTTTCACAAATAAGAAAGTCCACTTGATGGAGATTCCACTCTCTCGAGAAATTGGTGCACTTCGAGGTTCAATTGGAATTGGTTCCACGACATGATTTCAATCACGTCGGCAATTAATGTACCTTTTCTTTTCTTAAAAACGCTCTTACTTTGTAGTAAGGCATTCCAACCGGTTGTTCGATTCCTAAAATCTTGTTAGAGTGCAATGTGAATAAAGGCAGGGGAGTCTTCCGTAAAAAAGATTAATGAAGATAGGGGGATACATGCGAAATGCTATTGGAAATTTATTTCCCTTTTTTCGAGTTCCTTTGTCACCTTATTTACCAGATCAATAAATATGTACATATCTGTGTCACTTAATGATGAAAAACTCATTTAATATCGGAATTAATTGCAGAAATTAGGCGTTATCAGATGAAATTATTGACCTTTAACTTTTTGAACTAATGGTGGAACTAAATTGTTGTGTACACCTTGCAGAAGGTAATTTGTTATGTTTGACCAGAAGTTTTGTGAGCCAGACATTTTCGAACCCTGATTATTATCAAAGACTTTTGCAATTCAATCAAAAACCATTTATAAAATATATGATTTCAAAAAGGTCTTGTAGGATTTTTTCAACATTTCAGAAGTATAAATATTGTTTGAGTTTATAATTTACTCAAACATTTTTTCTGATCGGGCTCACTTTGTTTGTCTTGTTATTGAAATGAAGTGACGACGTCATTAAAATTGATTCATAAAGTCAAATTACAAAAAAATCCGAACAAAAGGCAAACGCCGATGAGAAGAAGAAGAAAACCACTAGAAGAGCGCTCTTTTTTTCTTTTGTTGTTCGCACGGTCTCAAATTCGAATTTCCATATGTCTTTCTCTCTTTATGTGGTTCTTTGACCATCTTATTCTCACTTAGCTAATTAATTTGACTAAATATTTAAAAAAGAATGGTACAAAAAAACTTTATTATCAAATAAATTAAAATAGGAGACGATCTTTGGCACTGCTAAGTGCGTACAGAAAATGTTATTAACAGTTAGTTTGACTATGTTTGTGTTTGGGTTCGAGGGCTCGAAGCGGCTCTCTTGTGTTGCGTTTGAGTTGCATGCGGTTCGAGCAAGCGAAACGCCGAGTAATAACGGTAAAGCTATAGCACTATCAACATTTCTGTTAGGAAAACGATGATTTTCTGTTGGGTGACCGACGACCGACTCTTTTTCTTTGGGAAACGTTTTAATTTCGAATTTTCACGCGCTAGGAAGTTAAGAAGCGGACGGCTGCTCGCGCGTTCGACAAAAACAAAATAAATAAATAAAAATAAATACATAAAAAAAGTGCGAAAAAAGGCCGGTCGAACGCAACCGTCGCGACGTGTAAAAAAATTGAAAGCGAAAATAGCCAAGGAATATGTGAAAAAAAAATTAAAAACCGCGCGCCGCCCAATCAAATTCCAATAAAAGTGCTTGCCATCTATATAAAATATATATGTATATCTAAGAAGTGTGTGTGTGTAATCAAAGTTTTTTCTGTGAGCAAAGTTCAGAGGCAATAGCAAAAAGAAAAGGCAATACTACATTGCAAAGGCAAAAGCAAAAGCAAATTTTAATTCAAAGCCAATGTAATCTTAGTTTTGAAAACGTAAGTTTCAAAAGTGAAGAGTGCAAATGATAAAATGGAGCACATGTGCTGTCCCCTTTCCACCCCGCCCCCTCTCGCTCTGTCTCGCTCGCTCGTCAGCTTAATTTTCAATGCAAATCGAATGGAAATCAACAGATCAAAAACAAAAACAACAACAAATTCGCTTTCGCAAACAAAAAACAACAACAATCGGCTAGAAAACGGAACAGAGAGACGTACGAAAGAGGAGAGCGCAAAAAAGTGAAATGCGCATTTTTTATTGTCAATTTTATTTTTCAAACGGCACTTTTGGACCTGGACCGTGTGATTCTCTTGCTCTCTCTCTCACTCGTGTAGTCTCTTTTTCTCGCACGATCGCACGCTTACTCTCTCGTTCGCTCTTTGCTTTGGTTAACGGAACTGCCATCTTCTTCTCCATTGTTTTTGTTGTTAGGCAAAAGCAACGCCAAAAAGGAAAGGAAATTTTTTTTTGAAGCGGTGCGTTGCCCTTTTGCTTTTGCTCTTCCAACAACAACAACCACAACAACTAATGAATGAACGAGAAGCAGAAACAGAAAAAACAACAAACGCAGATACATCGCGATAATTTTCTCGTTCATCTGGCGTCTTTATGACATTATGTACGCTACATTTTTGATTTTTTATTTAACACCTGCTGTTCTTCCATCAGCATTATGTGCATGTAATCAGTGCATCAGTATGAGTGTGTTTGCTGCCATTGCGATCAACAGCTGTTGCTGGGAGAGTGACAAAGAGAACACGCAAAGGAAGAGCACGAGCGAGTATGTGCCTTTGTATGTGTGTCCTTGCGTGTGGTTTTCTTTTGTGGACATTATGTTGTTGCAGCTGGATGTCTATTTCCCAAAAAGGGGGGTTTTTCGGGTTTATGGAATTTCCCAATTTGCAATCGAATTCAAGTTTTTTAGTTGTAATCGTTATAATTTCGAATAATAATAAATCACCGCACGATTGGTTTGGTTATTCAACCAAAGTATTTGTGCCCTACATAACGAACTTTAAGACACATTATTAAAATGCATCTTTAGAACTTCGATTTATTTACTTAAAAGATCCATTTCACATTTCTAGCCAACTTTATTATTAAAACCGCCTCAAATAAAAGCAATAATAAATAATACATAAAAACCGAAAGTAAAAAGTTCAACATTTAGTAAAGGAAAACAAAATAATTAAACACACTTGCATTAACGAAATCGTAGCCATTAGCTTTAAAAACGCGTAAAAATTTTGAGCAGAACTTAGCAAGCCTATAAAAGTACGCCTTCCAATAGTTCTTATATATACACGCATTATATACATATGCATATACATAGCCATAGCACTTACAACATACATACATATATATACAACGGTCAAAGGGAATTAAAAACCAAACGGGAAACGAAAGAAAGATAGAGAATCGTGGAAAAAGTGCGTTATATTCTGACGGTGCAATCAAACCTTAATGTAGCCAAGCGATATTACAGCTACAATAACATATATATACCATATAAATATATAGATATATATTTCTTACCTTCATCAGAAAAACCAACAATTTTTACAATCCGCAAAAATTTAGCAGCTTCAAAATCAACCAACGCAATTACTTAAGAGAATTACTTTAAGAGAATTACTTTATCGGTAAATAGACAAGCATATATTGAACATAAAACAAATATTGGATTACAAGTGCAAATTACAACAAATTATTCTAAATATTAATTAAAATGAGAATTATGACAAATTTTCAATATTAAAATTATTAAATTATCCTATTATTCATAGGTTTAAATAATGAATAACAAATTTTATAAATGCGCCCCAAGTGCTTAACTAAAAACAACACCACACAACCAAACAAAACTATGTAATACAACAACAACCTCAACAAACAGCGAATCGAGCAATATTATCAATAATATTTCAGTAAATTGTTAAACGTTAAAATTAAAATTTAAACAACGCTATCAACCTGCCAATAGCATCACATTTAACAACAACAACTAATGTGGTGCCCAAGTGACATCGCAAACTAAAGCATCCCACAACAAGAAAAATCAACAAGAAAACCCCCAGGAGTCGGATATATCAAGTCGGACTGGAAAAAGGATACGCAGTTTTCCCAGCAACGAAGTCCAGAGGCCTTGGATTAACTCAACGCCCATGAGGGCGGAGGGATTTCCTTCTATGAGTCAGCAGACAATTGCAGCAACAGCATCGATTGGATCCCCATATGGATATTCATATGAAAAAACTAACTAAGCCACGGTAAGTACATTTTTTAACATGCCTGTTTATTTAATTTTGCACGAATGGATTGTATATGCGATAAGAAAAACTAGGTTTCAAAGAAAATTTAGGTCAAAACTGTCAATAAGAACAACAAGCGTTTAAAAAGGAAATAAAAAAAAATTGGTAAAAAAAACTTTATAAGTTTAAGACTAGGAACCGAGTTTAATCTCTGTCCGTCATTCACAATATACCAAATGCTACGCACACGACATCAAATCGGATCTGTTAAAACTTTTCTCATTTCTGCGACCGACCCCTTTTCTTTCCGGCTCTTTTCCTCATTTTCTCATTTTTTATTGTCAATGAGCTGCTGCGGCCACTAAAATGTATAATTGAAAATTGTACGCCCACATTTACTGCGCTCACACAGGCAGACAAACAAACAAACAAACAGACAAACAAGCAAGCACAGAACAGCACAGGCACTAGCACATCCATATAATAGATACGTATAAAGAGCAGTTCCACCAAAAAAAAAAAAATAAAGCGGAAAAAGGAGAAGAAAAAACGGTCCCCAGTTGCTTTTAGCGCCATGCAATAAACAGAGCGAGAGAGCGTTGCCAAGTTTTGCGGGTTTTCTTGGCCTGCTCTTCTACCAACAGACGGCTGAAAATCCACCTTCTCCACCACCCCCCTTTCCGCTGGCTTGTCCTCTGTTGTCCCACCTTGAGCAAAGTAGAAAAATCTAAGTTTTTTCATACCCAGTTCTTTTGGGAGTGAAAAGGGTATGTCAAATTGGTAGCAACACATTTTAGGTTATTATCATTTTAATTAAGTAATTAAGTATCTTAAAAGTTATTTGATTAGTAACTATGGCAACCATATAAACTATTTTATATGATATTTCGCATTGGTCATTTTTGAAATTAGTTAAAAAAAACCCATGAACCAAAACGATTAATTTAAAAGCCATTAAAAAGGGATGTCATCAATCCGCACTAGCAAAAATTACAGTTGTATGCCTGTCTTCCCAGCTTGTTGTCAGTATTTTATATACATTTAAGCAAAATATCTTAACTTATAACACAGAACTGGGGACAGCGTATCGCATTACGGAAAATTCCGCTTTAAGGTTCTTTCTAGATCGCTCTCCTCCTTTCTTCGTGTTTCGGTTTTTTGTTGTACATTTTGCCGGCGTCGCCACGCACTGTTTCCCCATGGCTAAGCTATTGTGCACTTTTCGCTGCAATTTGTCGAAAACTTGGTATTTTTTTTTTCTTATTCAAAAGTTTAACCATAACAGATTTCTTTAGACCACTTCCTTCTGGACGAAAGGCTGATGGTTTAAAGTTCGGCTTTAGTGGTCCCTAAAACTCTTGAGCCCACATTTGATGCCCCAATTTTCCCAGACGGAAAAGCTTTAATGTAAAAGGGTACTTTTTATTTTGCTATACATTATGAACAAGGCATTTACTTTAACCCCAATTAGTTTATTAATTTTGTTTTGAACCCCTTTAGGATTATTTCAACCCGGATTTTACAAAACGTTTTATAAGGGTCTCAGTTTTATAAGTTTTTGTAAAAGTTTGATGTTATAAAATACAAATTAATATAAATAGTTTAGAATTGGTCAAATGTGCTTAAGCATTATTTCAATTGATTTATGTAAATACTTTTAACTACCACTGTATATAAGAAAAATCGTTTTATATTTAAGCTTTCAACTTTTTGAGTAGCTACAAAAGCATTAATTTAATGCATCACTCTAAAAGCTTAGCTTTAATAGAGTCTAATCTAAATGGTACAGAAAAACGTGGACAATTTATTGTTTAAGTTCTTGGTCATTTTATGACTATTGTCTGCCTGAATATTGGTTTGAGGGTTCGGGAATGAGAACTCAAAAACAACAAGCGCACAAAACGTGTGCGACACTCTCAACGAACAGATAAAATTTTAATTTCTCCAAAATTGAAATTTTAATGTGTGTCTAGAGCGCGGTTTACCCCTGCACCACCACTGGCGTCTGTGTTCAGCCCCCTTACGACTGCACTTTGTGTCCTCCCTACTGGCTTTTCCCACCTTGCTGGGAAATTGTGCTATACCCTATGTGGCATTCAGACACACACACGCGCGCAAGTTTTGGGTTTTTGTGGGTTTCCCCTAACGAACCCACCCACCATCCAAGCAACCCAGCCACCCAACCACCCACTGGGCTGTCCACATTCTATTGCATTTCGGTGGCCCCCTTTTTGGCCGACTTTCTATCATTCGCTGCCTTTGGCATTGGCCAAAAAGCGATTTTCCTCCGTTGCGTTCACATTATAAAGTTGAATTATTAAAATTTGTCTGGTTGTGTGTGCCGGTTATGAATAGCTAAGTGGTTGCCAAGGAGTGGAATAAGTCTATATATATATATAAAATAGTCTGCTTAGGAAGCCCACTTAAACGGATTGGTTGATGGGGCAAAAAGGTAATTTGCTTTATGCATGATCTAAAGGTGATGTAAATCGAATTATTGAGTTGTCATTCCTTAACTGATTTACAATTGAATCGCTGGAGGAAAGAATAGCTAATGAGTCTGAATGTGTAATCAATAATATTGCCACATGTTGTATTTGTAGTTTCAATTGAAAGTTGGAGTTTTTAACTGAATGCTTTTTGACATTATTAAAAATAGAATACGTCTCCCATACTAATGTTTACCCTTTACTGGTTCACTTTCAAAATATTTGGACTAGTTCGCATCTGGGTTACACATACATTAAACTGATGATTCAAATGACCACTCAAAAAGCATGATACATAATCCTTTTTTGGCCATGATGCCAACTGAAAGGCCCATCATTCGGTTGCCTTGCTCTTTCACCTCCATCATTGGCCCACTTAAACTATTGACCCACACACCTAATTGATATGCTACACGTATAGTCGGCAATCAAAGTTCGGTATGTGAGGGAGGGTGAATGTGTGAGAGATAGCAGAAGCCAGAAGCCAGAAGCCCGAAGCCTGGGACGCAGTGAAATCTCTCTGGGGATTTTATTTTTTATGTCGAAATTATACATTTTATTATGTCATTTTAATGCTACAAAGGCACCGAACGTAAAAGTTGAAGGGAAAAGGAGCAGAGCAACATGCAAACTAAACAGTCATCCAACATCACCTCCCCCGACGACCCCATCCCCCATCTTATGTCAGACCATAAATCAGCAACAGTTAGGACCCAGAACGACCAGGTTCTTGGGCAGGAAGGAAGTGCTGGGTAGTCCTGTTTTCATTTTGTATGCAAAAGTGAACAAGGTGGAAAATAGAAGGAGAAGCAGAGAAAGCAAAATAAAAATAAAGTCCACAGTGTACACTATACAAACAAAAAACGTATAATTAGAGAAACATTTTTCTTAGTAAACATTTACTGAAAACCATCAAATTTAGCACACAACAAATTAGAAAATAGTAAAGTATTTAATGAAGTAATAAATAACAAGAGTTATACAATTTTAATATTTTTAAGTAAACAATACTAAAGAATATATTTTTAAACTGTTTTAGTAAATGTTTATTCTTTAATATATACTAATTGTACTTACAAATATTAACTAAAATATTAAAGTACGCTGTCGTCCTTTGGTGCATTTTTCTACTCAAGCACCTTAAAAAGAATCGAGTGAGAAGAAGGCCAATGTAATTTTTATGCCTTATAAAATTTAACCAGAAAACCAAACAAAAGGAATCGAAGATATGTGCGCACACACAAATGACAGATGTTAGGGTGGAATGGCAGGAAGGAAGGATAAGGACGAGTATAAGGACGTGGACGAGGACGACGAGAGCAGGAACGAGAACTGTCATTGAGAGGCAGCCAAATTGTTTTATGTCTATCGATAAAGTAAATCACTTCCCCTTCTCGCACTTTTGTTTGCAAATAATTCGCTTCGTACTTTTTACAAGGGGTTTTTCATCCGGGTCCTTCGTCCTCTGACTGTTTACGCTTGTATATGTATATATATTTGTGTATATATATATGGGTGTGTATCTCGGTGTGTGTGCATTGGCCGTCGCTTTATTTAATGACCCGAAGCTTGTGTTTGAAGCCCAAACCCAGAGGAAAAGCAAAAAAAAAAAGCAAGGAAAAATAGCAAACGAATCTGAGCCACAATTGACACGTGTTGGGATTGGCATTGTACATATATGGGTGGTTGGGATGATGGGTCACAAAGGGGGCAACCTGAATCGAAGCTTATTCACATATGGTAGAAAACACAACCTCTCCGGATAGCTAATTAAACAATATAGAAGACGATAATCTTTTTAGTTGCTATGTGAAAACCGGTAACTCATTTAAGTGGAAAAATATGCGCTAAATCTATCTCTAGATGAGTAATAATATTTGGAGTGAAATTTATTGTGAATGGAAAACTATATGAAAAGTACTGCCTAACTTAAAAAACTAATTTTAATACATTTGTGTAGCAGAACTACTTGTAAGATCAGTTCTTTAATCAACAGTTTATAGTTTATAAAGTCTCTTTCCTGAGCGCTCCTTTCCTGGAAGCCACTCCCAGAAATGTCAACCTGGTTGCACCCATGCCTTCCATTTCATCTAAGATGTGACCCCGTACCGCCACCACCTCAATGATTAACTGTTGCACACCGCGCCACGCCCATCAGTCAGTTGCAGTTAAGCTGAAGGACACACACATTGTGGAGGAGGTCAGAAGATGGGAGGTGGGGCTTAGCTGCAGTGTTTGGTTGCCTTGGCGATGTCCATGTCCATGTGAATTGTGTGGCTCCAAGAGTCTACAACACTACACCACCTCTTTCGATTTTGCTCGCACATTTCACGCACAAGTGCCGCCACTTTAAGCCAGGGCGCGACAACTGGCAAAGTGGAGACAAGAAGAACTACTGGAGCTTCGCAACATCGTCTTCGGTCTTTTCCTGGTTCTGCGGCCTCTTCCCGCTTGTTGATTTATACCTTTCTAGCCAAGGATTGGTCAGTTTAAGTTATGATAGTTATATTAAACTATCTTATAAGTAGC